TGATAGGGATTACACTAAATCTGTAGATCAGTTTGGGGATGCTATCATCTTAACAATATTAAGTCTTTAGGCCCATGAACATGAGTGTTTTTAAATGTAGATCTTTAATTTCTTTTAACAGTGTTTTATAATTTTCAAAATATAAGTTTTGCTCTTCACAGTAAATTTATACTCAAGTATTACTCTTTTTGGTGCTATTATAAAAGGATTTTTAAAATTTTGTTTTTTGTTTTTGGATTGTTTATTGCTAGTGTATAGAACTTCAGTTTTTGTATATTTGATCTTATATCCTGCAGCCTTGCTGAACTTGTTTATTAGCTCTAATAGCCTTTTTAGCAGATTCCTTAGGATTTTCTATATAAAAAATCACCTCATGTGCAAGTCAGATATTTTTACTTCTTCCTTTCTAATCAAATTATTAATTCAAAGTCTTCATTTGTTATAGGTCTATTCGGGTATTCTGTTTCTTTTTAAGGTTGGTTTTAGAAATTCTGTCTTTCGGCCGGATGCCAAATCTATAATCCCAGCACTTTGGGAGGCTGAGGCGGCGGATCACGAGGTCAGGAGATCATAAGCATCCTGGCTAACATGGTGAAACCCCATCTCTACTAAAAATACAACAAATTAGCCTTGTGTGGTGGCAGGTGCCTGTAGTCCCAGCTACTGGGGAGGCTGAGGCAGGAGAATGGCATGAACCCGGGAAGCAGAGCTTGCAGTGAGCAGAGATCGCACCACTGTACTCCAGCCTGGGCAACAGAGCGAGACCCCATCTCAAAAAAAAAAAAAAGAAATTGTGTCTTTCTTGGAATTTGTTCATTTTATCTAATTTAATTTGTTGACATACAAAGGCTTATAGCATTTCCTTATAATATTTTTTATTCCTGTAAAATATTTAGTGGTGTCCCTTCTTTTTTTCCTGATAGTCATTTTGAGTCTTTTTTTATTGCTCAGTCTACCTAAGGATGGCTAATTTTGTTGATCATCTTAAAGAGCCAACTTTTGAGTTCATTGATTTTTTTTCTCTATTGTTTTTCTCTTCTATTTTATTTATTTCCACTGTAGTCTTTATTATTTTCTTTTCTTTGCTTTTTTTTTTTTTTTTTTTTGGAGACAGGGTCTCACTGTGTCACCCAGGCTGGAGTGCAATGGCACAGTCATGGCTCACTGCAGCCTGGAACTCCCAGGCTCAAGTGATCCTCCCATCTTAGCCTCCCCAAGTAGCTGGGACCACTGGTGTGCACCATCACACCCAGTTGGTTTTTTTCTTTTTGTAGAGATGGGGTCTCACTGTATTGCCTAGGGTGGTCTCGAACTCCTGGGCTCAAGCAGTTTTTCTACCTTGGCCTCCACAAGTACTAGGATTACAGGTATGAATCACTGTGCCAGTTTTGTAAGGTGGAGGGTTTGGTTATTGGTATGAAATCTTTTTTAAAACTTTTTTTTCTTTCATTCTCAAAGGAAGTGAATGAAATCTTTTTTAATAGAGGCATTCAGATCTGTAAATTTCCCAATGAGCACTGCTTTACTTATAGGCCACATTTTCATTCATTCTCTCTTTTTATTTTCATTTTTTATTTTCATTCATCTCTAAGTATTTTCTCATTTCCCTTGAGATTTATTCTTTGACCCACTGGTAATTTAGGAGTATATGGTTACATTTTCACACATTTGTGAATTACCCAAATTTTCTTTCATTGATTTCTACTTTCATTCCATTGTGGATAAAAAATATACGTTGCGTGATTTCAGATCGTTTAAATTTATCAAGGCTTGTTTTATGGTCTATCCTGGAAGTTGTTTCACATATGCTTGAGAAGAATGTGTTTTTGCTACTGTAAGATAGAGTATTCTGTAGATATCAGGTAGGTCTGGTTGTCATATTATTGTTCAAGTCTTCTGTTTTCTTGTTGATATTTTCTAGTTGTTCTGTCCATTATTGAAAGTGGGATATTAAAATCTTCAACTATTATTGAGGAAATGTCTGTTTCTGCCTTCAGTTCTGTCTTTGTTTTGCATCATGTATTTTGGGGCTCTGTTTTTGGGTGCATATATGTTTGTAATTTTCATCTTTTCCTGTTAGATTGACCTTGTATCATTTGAAATATCTGTATCTCTAACATTTTTTGTTTTAAAGTCTTATTTTAGTATAGCCACTGTAGCTCTTTTGGTTTCTATTTTATGGTACTTGTTTCCATTCCTTTGACTTCAACTTTATCTGTGTCTTTGAATCCAAAAATATATTGTTGGTTGTTGTTTGCTTGTTCATTTGTTTATTTTCCAGCAACTTGGTCTCCCCACAGTAATTAGCCTCTGATCTCCCTGCTCAGATTTTTTAAAAATTGTTTTTCTTTTAGCCTGGCTAATGAGGGGTCTTCCCTGGATTATCACATACTTATTGGTCAAAATTTGTGCTTAGTCCTCCTTACCAGTTTGATTTTTTTTTCCCCCTTACCATTTGATTTTTATCATTTACTGTGGGATGTGTGTGGCTTGGAGACTGCTATCACAGTTGAGAGTGTGTTTGTTTTTTTGTCCCACATTCACCAGGAGACTAATAGCTTGAAGGTTCACTCCTGATTACTCCAAAGAGGGTACAGCTTTGGGTATGCACACAGTCTTCCAGACTGCAAGGAATGACTGGATGTTATTTTTAAGTCTTAGCTTCCCAGGGGTCGACCCTGAGTTCAGGTTATTCAGTGCCAGTGAGGATTTACCTTGTTTTGATAAGTCTTTGTGTGACTTGGGGAATGCTTTCATGTCTGTCCATCCTACATCTTACTCTAATTGTTCCTTATTGGGTGAAGCCTAGTGCATGTGCGCAGGGTTTTTGACCTCCAAAATTGACTGTGATTCCCCAAAGGGTCCTTCTTGGCTGTCTCATTTCCTGATTCTGTTAAAGTTCTGGCTGTTTTGCTTGTCATAGGGCTGCCAGCTTCTCTTAATTGCTTTCCTCCAAGCTCTGTTGCAAATAATGTCAGCCCTTTCCGGCAGAACTGCTGCAGAGTTCTTTGTCCTTATAACCTACTTTTCACCCTGGGCAAAACCTATCTCTCACTACACCTGACCTGGGGTCACGGATCAGCTTTTCCTGGAGTGACAGGGTCACTCTACAAGTCAGCACCTGGAAGGAGTTGGCAGTCCCTGGTCTTAGCTCGCTCTCCTGGCAGAATCTCTACCCTGTGAGCAAGCTAGAATGGAGAAGATTGAGACCCTCAACGTTTTGCTCCTGGAGCTTCTGCCCTAAGAGAGGGAGGGAAGGAGAGGAGACCTGGTTCTTTCAGCCACACCTATCTAAAATAGATCTTCTGTAACATGGGACTGGAGAAGGATGAGAAATGCCTCTAGTAACCTGTCTCTTCCATGGGGAAGCCATAGCTCCAGATTGGAAGCTGGAGAGAGAGGGAACCTCTGTCTTCTAGGCCTGAGTAGGATGCCCAGGGCAAAACTTCTGCAACATTGAGCTGAGGGAGTGGGGCAAGGAAACAAGTTGTAATTCATATATCAAAAGCTCTGTGTTGTTACTGAGATTTACTGAGTTTTCTTGAATGAATGTTTCCCTGTTTGCTCTATGACTTTAGGACAGTATACAGGGACTTTAAATAATGTTTTAAATTTTTTCAACAGATAAGCTATGTTTTGCTTGGGAGAGAGGCTGTGTAGATCCTTATTCTGCAGATTTGGAAGTCTCCCCATCCCCACATCATATTTTACTGCTTACACTAGCATATCCTGATGACACATCTGATACACTGAAAGTTTGCCTATGTGCTCATCATCTAAAGTAAAATATTCCATTATTGAAAGCAGCTGAAACATCTTTCTTGCTGATATTGAACCTACTATCATGATTTGGTAACTTGCTCCAGATGTGTGGGAAAATTCGGTTGTCAGACTCCATTTTTTAAAGAACTTTAATTCTTATTTACTTGTTGTTGTTGTTGTTGCAGGGTTTTTTGTTTTTTTTTTTTTTAATTCCTACATGATATAGTAGTGAAAACTTTGCTAATGGTCTTAAAGTTTTTTAACCCAAGCTTTGTTAAATAAATGTAGCATGACTTAGTTAGTTTGGAAAGCCAAATTGCAAAGCTAAATTTCAAACAAGAAATGTGCTTTTATGAACACTTTTAATTTTAGAGAGAACTAAAAATAAAATGTCTAAGAACTTGGCTGTTACTCCATACAGTTTTATATTTGTAAACAAACTGCATAACTATGCTTTCATCAACGTTGGACCACATACACGACAGTAGTCTCATAAGATTAGAATACCTTGTTTTTGCTGCACCCTTTTTGTTTATGTGTATTTATATACACAAATACTTAACAATATGTTACAATTGCCTACAGTATTCCTACAGTAACATGTTGTACAGATTTGTAGCTTAGCAACAATAGGCTATACCTGATAGCCAAGGTTGTGTAGTAGTCTGTACCATCTAGGTTTATGTGAGTACATCTATAATGTTCATACAGTAACAGAATTGCCTAAAGACACATTTCTCAGAATGTATCCCTGTTGTTAAACAACACTTAACTGTGGGTGTTTCTTCTACATTGTAAGTACTTTGAAGGATTGGATCCTTTCTCACTCATCTCTGTACTCCTACCTAGTTCTAAAATGTAGTCCCTTCAACCATGGGATTCGGCTACATTGCAAAACAGACAATTCTTGAGATGCTTTATGTATTCACACCTATGTGTCCTTCCTGATGCTCTTTCTCTTCATTTGTCGAATCTTTCTTACCTTCATCTAACTCAATTTTATCTTCTTTAAGTTTCTGTTTCTGCAGTCAAAAATGATCATGCTTGTCTTTGATTCCAATGGCAATTTTGTAGTAATTTTTTACTTACGTTGCATTTATATCTCCTTCTGTAGACTCTAAGATCTAATCCTTTTTAATCTTTTTATTGCTACATACTTTGTACATAGAACTTAATTGTTGGATGAATGAGTAGATAAAATGGTGATTAAACGAGTGGTGTAATCTTTTGTTTTATAGCCGAGAGACACACAAGATTGCAGTATTTTATGTTGCTGAAGGACAAGAAGACAAACACTCCATTCTCACCAATACAGGAGGAAGTCAAGCATATGAAGATTTTGTAGCTGGTCTTGGTTGGGAGGTATTATTTTTAAATTATACGAAGTATTTATATTTGGAAGCATAAGGTTTTTTTCTTTTTTTTTTTCCTAGCTTATTATAGAAGTATTATTTTAGGAGATACAACAGCTTAACAACTAATTTGTTATTGTTTCTGCCTTCCATTTTGTCTGCACATACAGCAGCAGTTGGGACTTTGAAAGGAAAGGTGTTGACTATTTTATGAGACAGTATATTGTGAAAGAGTACTAAACTCATAGCTTTATAAGATCTGGATTTTCCTTACAGCTGTGACCACTGGACTGGTGGTCTTCAAACTAGGACCTTATGGCTACACAAAGGCTTTCCAGGAATATGTGGGTATACATAGTTTTGAGGAAATTAGCTTCCAGATCCTCAAGTTTACCAAAACTAATGCCAGAAAACCCTTCTGCAGTCTCTTGTCTCTCATTTACTTTGTAAAAGAAAGGCATACTACTCACCCACCCCAAATTGTACAGTGTCCCAGAGGGTTTTAGCACCAACAAAATAGACAGTTCTAGTGGGTATACTTTTAGGAGAAAGTCCCTGCCAGCAAAACAAGAAATTTTGAAAGGTGTTATACTTTATGTCATTCAAGAAACCAACCCATGTCAAGATTCCTGTACCAAATCTGTCTATCTTAGAATTATAACTCAGAAGGTAGGTATTTGTCATAAGGATTTGGATGAATATGTTTATTTGAATTGAAAAATGAAGTATCAGACATGTTCTAGAACAGAAAGTAAATCTGATGTGGCTGATTGGCTTGTGATCAATTTAATACCAGACACTTTGCATATATTGAATCAGCCAAATCTGTAGCTCCAAGATTTTGATGAAAATATATTTAAAGCACATATATTTATTATATAGTATACTGGAAATTGTATCCTTGGCAACCATTTAAATTTTTTATGAAAATTTTTATTATAGTTTTCAATTTAATAGGTTCCCAAAATTGCTGTAGAGAGTATATGAGCAAAATTGTTAAAGAGCACTGCATTAGACTATAAGCTTGTAGAGGGCAGGCACTTTTATCTCAGTGATTTTTCTTTTTTTTTAAATTCCCAGTGCCTTTCACAGTGTCTGATATGTAAGCCTTTAGTGTTTTGTATATATTTTTATGGCTAATCTAACCTATTTTTTTATGATTTTTTCCTTGGGATACATAGCTTATTTATAAATGTGTAGTTTTATTTCAAAATATGTGAGTTTTTTCTAGATGTCGTTATTGATACCTAATTCTATCCCATTGTGATTACAGAATATACTCTGTAAGATTTCAGTATTTTGAAATATAATGTATCTCAGTATAGGTACCCTATTCCCTTGAAAAAAAAATGTGTATATTCTGTAGTTATTGAGTGTAATGAACTAGGTATGTCAGTTAGGTCAAGGTGGTTGTTGGTAGTATTTAAATCAGTATGTTTTTACTGACTTCATTTCTTTTAAAAATTTTTATTGCTACATAATAATTGTACATATTTATGTGGAACATATAATTTTGATAAGTGCATACAATGTGTAGTGATCAGTTCAGGATATTTAGGATACCCATCACTTCAAACATTTATCATTTGTGTTGGAAACATTTCAAATCTCCTCTTCTAACTATTTTGAAATAAGCAACATTTTGTTGTTAACTATAGTCATGCTAATGTACTATTGAACTGTAGGGCTTATTCCTTCTATCTCACTATATGTTTTGTCTTCATTAGCCAGCCTATCTTCATCTCCACACCACAACCACCACCTTCACCAGCCTCTGGTAACTGTCATTCTATTTGTTACCTCCATGAGATCAACTTTTTTAGCTCCCACATCTGAGTGAGAACATGTAATGTTTGTCTTTCTGTGTCTGGTTTATTTGTCTTAACATAATGACCTCCAATTCCATCCATGCTTCTGCAAATGATAGGATTCCATTCCTTTTTATGACTGAATAGTATTGCATTGTGATACATACCACATTTTCTTTATTCAGTCATCTGTTGATGGATATTTAGGTTGTTTCCATATCTTGGCTGTTGTGAGTAAAGCTGCAATAAATATGGCAGTGCAGGTATCGCTTTGATATACTGATTTCCTTTTTTTTGAATAAATACCCAGTAGTGGGATTTATGGATCGTATTAACCTGCTGTTTTACCTTAAGTGAGTTATTTAAGCTCTGTATGCCTCTTTACTTATTTGTCAAAGGTAATATACTTTTTTACCCAACAGAGGTGATGTGAAGTTCAATTGAGCTTATATATGTGAAAATGCTTTGAAAAGTACAAAAAAAAAAACCCTAAGTAGATTTTCTGTTAAAATGTAAAATACCATAAAAGTATTAGTAAAAGTAAGGGAGACATGAAAAAGAACAAGTTAGGAATATTTACACTTTTTGATTTCAAAACTTAATACAGAGCAATGCTAATCAAGATAGTGTGGATAGATCCTGGGGCAGAACTTAGGGAAAAAAAAAAAAAGAAGATAGTGTAGTACTGCTGATACAAGGATAGACATATAGATCAATGGAATAGAATTGAGAGTCCAGAAATAAACCCCATATTTGTGGTCAGCCGTTTTTGACAAGGGTGCCACAACCATCCAATGGAGAAAGAATAGTCTTTTCAACAAATGGTGCTGAGACTATGAGCCATATGCAAAGAATGAAGCCAGACTCTTACCCCATACCATGTACAAAAATTAACTCCAAATGGATCACGGACCTAAATGTAAGACCTAGAATTTTAAAACTTCAGAAGAAAATATAGGAGTAAATCCTCGTGATCTTGGATTTTGCAAAGGATTTTTAGATAAGACACAAAGCATGAGCAACAAAGACAGAACCAGATAATTGTACTTTATTAAAATTAAAATTTTTGTGCTTCAAGGTGAAGTCTGATAAGAGACTAGTATCTAGAATATACAAACAAGTTATACAAATCAATGATTAGAAGATACTCAACTAAAAAATGGTCAAAGGACCTAAATAGACATTTCTCCACAAAAGATATATAAATGACCAATAAACACATGAAAAGATGCTCAACATCCTTTGCTATCGGGGAAATGCAAATCAAAACCATAGTAGGTATCACTTCACACCCATTAAGATAACTACAATCGGTATTGCGGCGAACAAGATGGCTGAATAGGAACAGCTCCAGTCTCCAACTCCCAGCGCGAGCGACACAGAAGACTGGTGATTTCTGCATTTTCAACTGAGGTACTGGGTTCATCTCACTAGGGAGTGCTGGACAATCGGTGCTGGTCAGCTGCTGCAGCCCGACCAGCGAGAGCTGAAGCAGGGCGAG